CATGGGACCAAGGCCCCTGAGTCATGCATAACCCTAGCACAACGATAAACATCTCAGCGTAATCCTGCCAATCATCCACTTAGGCCAGTGCGCGTTTCCAATAAAACAGCTCTAGAGCATCTGACTTTCAGCAGTGTAGCTTTCTAGTGAGCCTTCGGAGAAAAAGAGATGGAAATTGTATGTGAAGGTAACTGACTGTTTTGATCTTTCGAATGGAATTGTTGGATATTAGCCCATCTGAATAATGACTTTAATTTTAGACTAATGTGAAGCTTTGTAGCAATATTGAATGGCAGAATCAACTATCCATTGTGGCCATTTCCAATGCAAGAAACTGAACGCCTGTCCTCAGCATTACCCCCAGTGTGCACCTCATCTCCTCGCACAGGTGGCCAGGCTCCCCTTGCTGTCTCTTGCGAATGTGGTTTCCAGCTGGCGATGCTCCTTCTGCTTGCTCTTAATCTGTTGCTTTCAGAAGTCGGGCCACATCAGGTTGATAAGCAGGTCTTCCTTGACTCAAGGACATATCACACCTGGGCCTAGACTGCCATCGCAGTGGCAGCCTGTGGCTCCCTTTTCAGGGACATCCCTTAGCCTTTTCCTGAGCCATGTTTCTGGACTGTACCCCATGACCGTGCTTGGGTCTGGCTCCTAGAGGCCTGCCATGCTCTGCAGCTCCCTGGCTCCACTTTAAAGAAGGCAGTAAGTGGGGAATTTCACTATTTTGCCGTAACTTTATGATGATTTGATTTGGACTCATACCTTTATTTCTTATTGTTTTTGATATTTCTATTCTGACGAATGTCATAATGTGTAGATTCACTTTTTAAATGGTATTTATTTCTTTTAATTTTGTTACTTCTAAGCATTTTGTGATTGTTTACGTTTCCTGTCTGTGAAATTGTTACTAGGTGTCCAGCAAGCAATGAATTAAGCATTTATCTATCTCCTTTTTTCTCTTCTTCTCTACTTCTTTATCTTCCCAACCCTAATTGTAAACACTGCAAATTTTGCATTTCAAAACTCTGGCTCTTTTTTAGTTTTTCCTCAGAGACTTCACTCATTTTCCTTGTGATCCTCAGCTTTGTGACTCAAAGAATCTACCACATGGAAAGTGCTCGTTTGTCTCGTTAGTGCAGGTGTGTGTCTAAAAACCATTTATTAGTAATTAGTAATGTATATAACATTGTGTTGGGATTGTTGTCTCGGAACTCTCAGGTTTAGATGTGGAGAGAGACTCATAAATGTGGTAGTTGCTAGTGAAAGTACGTTCAGGATGTTGGTGAGAGGAGAGAAGGCAGCAAACTGAATGCATCCTTGAGAGTCAGGGAGAATCCCACGGTCGGAATATTTCAGCCAGTCTTTAGAGGATGGTGGGTGTTCATGTTAGGAAGAGGGACAAGTTTAGGAAAAATATGCTGTATCATGTCCAGGACATACGATGTTTAGAGGCCTGTCAATGATCCGGGGTGGTGGGCCAGGCACTGGTGCTGTCTGTAGGGGTTCATATTCTGTTCCCAGACTCATGCTCAGGCTGCCGTCTGCAGACTCCTAGGGTTCTACGGATGGATTCTTACAGTGCGCAAGAGTTTACTATGGAACTTCTTAATTTTGTGGGCTTGAAAAAAATTATAAGCATATTCTACATCATTCAAATCATTGCTACCTCGGAGCAGTGCTGGTCCACAAACTGTTTCCAGTTCATAATGAGATAACCATGGAAGCTTGGGAGTAAGCGTTTAGAAATGTACAGCAATTTGACTTGATATTCCCATGGCATCCAAGTGTAGGATTTTTTTGAAAGTCAGCTTATTGAGGTAGTATTTTCACACAATGAAATTCATATTTTTAAAATATAGTTAGATGAGTTTTACAGTCATATAATCACCCCATAATCAAGATATAGAAAATTTCCATTGACCCAGAACACGCCCTCATATCCTAACCTAGCTAGCCACTGATCTGTTATCTGTCTATAGTTTCACTTTTTCTAGAATGTCGTATAAATGGAATTTTGTTGTAGATAGTCTTTGGTGACTGTTTCCTTTTGCTAAGCCTAATGCTTTTGAGATTCATTTATTTTGTTGTATATATAATTTATTTATTTTTATTGCTGAATAATATTCCTCTATGTGGATGTACTACAATTTTTCCATTAACCAGTTGATGGACATTTGGGTTGTTTCTGGGCTGGGGCTATTCTGAATAAAGCTGTTTATTCAGAACATTTGAGCATTGCACTTTCAGTGTACATGTTTCCACATCTTAGGTGAATACCTGGGAATGAACTGCTGTGTCATATGCTAAGTGTATGTTTGAATCAGGGCTTCTCTGTTGATATTTTGGTGGTTTTGGTTTGGATAATTCTTTGCTGTGGGGGACTGTCCTGTCCATTATGGGATGTTTAGCTACATCCTTGGCTTCTACCCACTAAAAGTTAAGATATTCCTAGCCCCCATTTTGACAACCAAAAATGTCTCCAGGCCTTGGTAAGTGCCTACCTTGGTGACTAAAATTTCCCCTAGTTGAGAACCATTGGTTCATTGTAAGAAACTACCAAACTGTCTTCCAAAGTGACTTGATCATTTTGTATTCCCACCCAATAATTCATGAGTTCCAGTTTTCGTGTGTCAGATCTTAATTTTTATTCATTTCCATATATTTTCTAATTTCCCTTGTGATTACTTCTTTGACTAATGGATTATTTAGAAGTATGTTACTGAACTTCCTAATATTTGAGAGATTTTTCAGATATCTTTCTACTGTTGACTTCTAATTTATTTGCATTTTGGGCATAGAATATTCTTTGTACATTTTCATTCATTTTAAATATTTGAAATTTGTTTTATATTCCAGAATATGATCATGAATGACCCATGTACACTTGAAAAGAATGTGCATTCTGTTATTGAGCAGATTGTCATCTGCATAATCTTATATGTGACAAATTGTCAGCCTGTGATGTAGTAGAAATTTTTAAAAAGTTCTTCATCAAAGACCAGTGCTTCTCGATCTTTCTGTAGCTCACTGCCGAATGCCTGTGTTTCCAATCATCTTTATGATTGCTTTGATGCCAAGTGATAACTAAAGGTGCTAGTATTTAACTTACAATGAAGTCTTTTTCCTCCCGGATCTTGCACATCTAATCTTGTGGTCCCATGAGTGTTCAGCAGAGTGAATGGTATCTGTGAAACAATTATAAGTTCTTTACATTTTAGAAAGACATTACGTGCAAAATAAAAACAAGGACAAGATGTTAAACATGGCTTGAGAGGAGCCCATCTGTGTCTCCAATGCCTGTGCTATACCCTGTCCCTTTGCTATTGAAGAGATTGCCTCATTCTGGAATTTCCTATCACCTTTCTCTACATTGTAGATTTGTATTAGTGTCCTTACCCCCTCCTCCCGCCCTGGGTAACAAATTACCTCACACTCAGTGCCCTAAAACAATACAAACCTATTATATCACAATTATGTCCTTGCATCAGGAGTCCGGGAAGGGATTGACAGGGTCCTCCGCTCAGGACCTTACCAGGGTGACATCAAGTTGTCGGCAAGGCTACCTTCCCACTGCAGCCGGGTCTGCTTCTCAGCTCATTCAGGCTGTTGGAAGGACTCCTCCGGTTGTAGGAGTGAGGTTCCCGTTTTCTCGCTGGCTGCTGGGGCCTCTCTTTATGCCTTCCCGAGGGCCGAGCCACAGGACCCTTCCAACATGGCAGCCCGCTCCTCACAGCCAGCGAGGGAACCTCTCTCCAGTCTGCCAGGGAGGAGTCGTACATAATAGTAAACCCATCACAGGCATGAAGTCTCATCCTACTCACAGGTCCCACCCACACTTAACGGGAGGGGTTTACACAGTGCGTGTGCAGGGGGCTGGGAATCTTGGGGGCCGTCCCAGCCTGCCATGGTATCCTGCTCATGGTTTAGTGTCCAGTTGGAATTATGTTTCTTTCACGAGCTCATTTCATAAGCTTTCCAGCAGTATGAGTTGCTCCCTTGCCTTTCTCCATTCTGAAGTTTGTATCTTCTTGCTTACACCTCACGTATATAAAATAAACCCTTAGAATTCACGGTGTTGACATAATCTGAATAGGACACTATACCTTTGGAGTAAGTGGTGGTGATATGCATTTCACCTTGGCTTGCGTGCTCGCCACACATTGTTGAGGTAGCTCTTATTCAGCAGCAGCATTAGGGTGTTTTAATAAAGCTGAGGTTCTTAAAGGCCTGCCACACCCTTCTAGAATGTTAACAGTCCACTATGGCATGTTTTGAACATATCTCCTTATCTAGTAAGCCAATTAGGGACAGAGAGTATCTTTTCTTTCCCCTCTGTAATCTACACATAGTAGGCTAAATGTTTGAATCAGGGCAAGCAAAGATTACAGAAAAATCATAACTCAGAGATGGGAACCAGGACTTAAGAAAGCCTGGAATTTAATCAGAAATGAAATACAGGCAGTATGACTTCAGAGTGCTTCCATGAGGGAAGTCAGGAGTGTGGGGAGGAAAGAACGTGTAAGATTGGGCACCCTCTAACGCCTGTAATCCTAGCACTCTGGGAGGCTGAGGCGGGCAGATTGTTTGAGCTCAGGAGTTCGAAACCAGCCTGAGCAAGAGCGAGACCCTGTCTCTACTAAAAATAGAAAGAAATTAATCGGACAACTACAAATATATCAAAAAAATTAGCCGGGCATATAATGGCACTTGCCTGTAGTCCCACCTACTCGAGAGGCTGAGGCAGAAGGATTGCCTGAGCCCAGGAGTTTGAGGTTGCTGTGGGCTAGGATGACGCCACGGCACTCTAGCCCGGGCAACACAGTGAGACTCTGTCTCAAAAAAAAAAAAAAGATTGGACACCCTCTTGCACGTTTTTGTAGCAGCTCCCCAGTAGGCATCTAATCAATATTACTGATAACTATCAGGGCATGGTATGTACCTGCCTCATCTTTATACTTTTTTACACAATTGTTTTGTTTTGTTTTGTCTCCTAATTGTAGCTGGTGCTCAGGACAGAATTGGTTGGGCCTTCGGTTTAGGACTGGAAAGGCTGGCCATGATCCTCTACAACATTCCTGACATCCGCCTCTTCTGGAGTGAGGACGAGCGCTTTCTGAAGCAGTTCCGTGTGTCCGATATTAATCAGAAGGTGAAATTTCAGGTACAATAGCTTGCAAGAATTAAGTAAATAATAATAAAAGTGGTTATCAAGGATTGAGAGAATCATGTACTTGAAAAGAAAACTGTTGAATTTTTAAGATAATGTGAATTTGAAAGAAGTTCTTAGAGATCCATAAACACACAGGAGTCCATAAACCTTCAGAAATTGTCTGCGGGAGAAAAGAGATTTGTTGTTCTTATTAATCTAAGCAGAGAACCAACTTTGGGCTTTGTTAATATCATTATGAAATACCTATCTTTTCATCGATGATACTTGTCTCTTAATGTTTACTTTTTTTGATACCACTATAGACACTGGCTTTCTTATGATTAGTATTTGCAACATGTATCATTTTGCTTTCATTCTGTGTCTTTACGTTAATAGCATGTCTCTTACAAACCGCATACAGTTGGGTCTGTTTTTTTAACCCAGATTTAAAGTCTCTGTCTTCTTATTGGACAATTGAACATACTATGTTTAATGTAATTACTTATATTCTTGGGCTTAATTCTATCATCTTTTTGTTTTTTTCCCATTTTCCTTAATTAATCTGTATTTTTTTATTCCTTCGTGCGGAAATTGAGATTTGTTGTTTTTGTTTTTGTTTTGTGTTATATTTTATTTCCTCCATTGCTGTTTAGTTTTACCGCTTTATATGATTTTTAGGTGGTTACTTTAGATTACAATATACATAGTTCATTTTACTTTGTCGGGAATAAATATTATACAACTTTGTGAAATATTTGGCAACCTTATAATATAGTGTAATTCTATTATCCCTCCTGTTTTTTGTATTGTTGTCATATTTTATTTTCCCATCTATTATAATCCCAAAATATATTGTTATATTTACCTCAGTCAGTTGTCTTTTAAAGAAATTAAAACTATGTCATTTCATATTTCCTTTGATATTTACCTCACTGACCATCATTTCTTTTTGCAGATCTTGGTTTTTCTCTGTGATCATGTCCCTTCAGTCTAAAGAACTTTCTTTTGTTATCGCGCAGGATGAATTTTCTTAGCTTTTGTTTGTCTGGAATGCCTTTGTTTCACCTTTATTTTTCTTACAAATATTTTCCATGCATATAGGTGTCTAGGTTGCCAGGTTTTTTTTTTTTCTGTTTCTTTTCAGCACTTTAAACATGTCATTTCATTGCCTTTATCTTTTTTACTCTGGTTTTCAGCAATTTGACCTATATATGATTTTCTGTCTTTTCCTGCTGATTTTCTGCTGGGTTAATGTCTTTGAAGCATTTTGGAAAATTCTCACCTAATGTCTCTTCCAACAATTCTACTCCATTCATTTTTCAGACTGCAATTGCATACATGTTAGACCATTTGGTCCTATGCTATAGAACTCTGATGCTTAGGTTGTGTTTTGTTTTTTATTATTGATTGATTTTTTTTCTGTGTACTTTATTTTCAGTAAGTTTTACTGTCTTCTCTTTGGGTTTACTAACTTTTTTTCTGTTGTGTCTCATTAACCATTAAGCCTATCTAATGAATTAATCATACTAGATATTATATTTATCCATTCTAGAATTTCCATTTACTTTTCAGAGTTTTCTCTGATGAACAATACAGTTGCTACCACAGTTAAGTGGCTTAAATTCAGTTTTAAGTGTACTCACAGCAGTCTTTTCTTGTGAGACACAGATGTAGTCAGTGTCAAAATCCAACCACTAGTTTTCAAGGCCTGGGAATAATCCTCTGTGGCCTTCAGTTGCACCCTCCGGACCTGTGGTTCTGCTGTCTGGGATATTCTTCCTTTTTCATTTAAGGGTCCATGTATTTGCATCTAAGTTGTTTTATCAGCCTGGGTTTTGACTGTGGAATTTTGGGAGCCAGACAACCTTCTTTCGTTTTCTGTCATTCTTTCTTTAATCCCTTTCAATCCAAACTGATGGTGTTTCTGGTGATATACCATTCTCAAAAACCTTGTAGGTCTCCCATGTATGTTACAGGGAGGCTCCTCCAGATCTTTCTTGAATAATTCATTGCTATTTTGGACTTCTGTTCAGATGCTGGAGGGGATCCAGAATCACATGCTTAATTTCTCCAAAGAGCACTCTGTGTCACTAAATACACTGATCTTTTGATTCTTCCAAGGTACTAACAAAGGATGGGTGGTACAGCCACACTCTTGGCTTTCTTTCCAGAACACACTTTATTCATAGTGAATGCCCTAATTTGTGTCTCTTTTGCAATCTGGATGGGCTAAGAATTTTCAAAATTTTAATCCTGGTTCCTTTTTTCTTAATAGTTCTTTCTTAATCTGTCTGTTTTCTCTTGCATTTTACTATGAACAGCAAGAATAAACTAGACTGCATTTTCAATTCTTTGCTTAGAAATCTCCTCAGGTAAATATCTAAGTTCATTGCTTACAAGTTCTGCTTTTCATATCCAATTCAGCTGGGCTTTCTGGCCCTATGTAATAAGGATCCGCTTCCCTTCAGTTTCCATTAACATGTTCCTCATTTCCTTGCAAACCGTCACCAGCAGGGCTTTTGACATCCGTGTTTCTACCATCTGAATCTTAATGATGATCCTGGATATTTGCAGGCAGTACAGGTTTTCTCTACCATGCTCCTCACTCTTCCTTGCTCATCAGTCGGTAACATCCATATTTCTGCAACAGTCTGTTTAAGGCAAACTGGCCTTTTGTATCATGGCACTCAAAATTCTGTACCCGTTAACCAATTCCAAGGCCACTTCTACATTGTTATGTGTTTGTTACAAGCAGCACTTCAGTTCCAGATACCAAAGTATGTATTAGTTTCTTGGCGCTGCTGTAACAAATTACCACAAACTTCACTGGCTTAAAACAATGTAGACTTATTACCATATAGTTCTGGAGGGCAGAAATCCAGTATCAGTCTGACTGGCCTACAGTGAAGGTGTCAGCAGGGATGGTCCCTTTGCACCCCGTGGGGAGAGGAAACCTGGGGGAAAGGCCTGCCGGCAGCTGGGAGCTTGTGGCTTCTCTGGCCAGGAAACTCTGAGAGCCCTTTGCAATCTGTTTTATAGCAGGCAGAAATGTCTCTCCCGTCAGGCCCTCCGAAGTTATATTAGGACTCTTGGCTTCCGTGGGAGTGTCCTCTGCAGAGTCTCCATGGTTTTGGCCTTGTAAATCCTTGCGTCTAGTTGTTAAGAGAGCTCCCTTAGGTGCTAGCAAGTTTCTGATCGAGAGCATCCTGAGCCCTCGTCTGCACAACTCTGTTCCCAAATACCTTGAAACCCATTGTTTAAATCTAGTCAGAAGGAAATTCAAGTTATAATGTGATTTTAATTTTCGGTTTTCATTTTAACTTATTTTGAGTGGAGTGCTTTGCCTGCTATCACTCTCTTTAACCAGCCTGGATCAGCACTTGAGATACATGTTTGAACAGTATGGTTGTTTCCTCATGCAAGTGTTTTGACAAGAAACCTTTGTTCACCACTGCAGCTTCCCATGCTGTGTTCTTTCTGGGTGTCTGGGCCTTCGTGTGTATACTCCTGCCAACATCCCTAAAGTAAAATTTGCTGTTTCAGTACATTGAACAATATTCAATAATCCAACTTTTATTCATTCTTTAATGTTTTTAAATAGTCCAAAATTATATATTCAATGGTTAGTCCTACACAGAGTAATACTTGTTATTGAAAATTACTCAACATTGCACATTTTAGGTACATAGTTTATTTAAAAGTTATTGTAACTTGGTACGCTGAGGTGGGAGGATCACTTGAGCCAAGGAATTTGAGACCAGCCTGGGCAACATAGCAAGACCTCATCTCTAAAAAAAAAAAAAGCAATGAAAAAAAAATTAACCAGGCATGATAGCATGTGTCTGTAGTCCCAGCTACTTGGGAGACAGAGGCAGGAGGGTCCCTTGAGCCCAGGAGTTCAAGGCTGCAGTGAGCTATGATTGCACCACTGCACTGCAGCCTGGGTGATAGTGTGAGACCCCATCTTTAAAAAAAAAAATTATTTTTTTTATGTCCATATTGTTTTACAAAGTCAGTCCTCATTTGGTGAAATGATTTCAACAATGTTGGTGGTTATCTTTTCTCCCAGTTGAAGGGTTTTGCTGGCCCTTTTCTGCGGCCACAGACTAAAATATTCCTAATCCTGGATGCTATCTCAAATACTTGTCACTGCAACAGGAATAGATGAGAACAGACAGGTAGTGGCTACAAACCTATCATACCTCACTCTATTCAAGCCAGTCATAATAATCAGTTAGTAGTTAACATTCCTTTTGCCCTCGCTCTTTGTCAAGCACCATCCTAAAGCGTTTACATGCCTCAACTTAATTTTCTCAGTAGGCTCATTTCACACAAGAAGAAATTGTAGCTGATAGTCATCTCAATAGCAGCATTAGCACAGTGTGTTGTTTATTCAGGGCTTCAAGGAGGCAATTCCCAAAGTTTAACCTGAGTATAAAATTCATAGGTGGATTATCAGAGCCAAAGGATTTAATTTTTTTTTTCTTTTTTTTTTTTGAGACAGAGTCTCACTGTGTTGCCTGGGCTAGAGTGCCGTGGCGTCAGCCTAGCTCACA